CAGATCTGTCAGAGAGGATGTGTCTACAATAAAACCTCCCCCAGCACAGAGAGGCTGCAGAGGTGCTCAGGATCACAGGGATCTCTTTGCTACTGCTTGAACTAAAACTTTACAAATTTAAGAAACACAATGACAACATTCAACAATTTGACTTAACACACCTCCAAAGTAATATGTTCCTCCAGTCTGGATCTGGATGGGGATAGCTGTTCTAACTGTGGAGGCCTCATCTCCATCAACTGTCAGCATTGCATAGTTTTCCAGTGCATTCAGGTGGACACTATGCCACTGTCCATCATTCAGACCTGAACCTATGAGGAAAAACACATGCAGAAAAGCCTTGAGGCGACTTTTGTTGTGATTTGGCGCTATATAAATAAATAAATTGAAAGTTTAACAGGAAAACACAACAGCGATCGAAGTGAAGACAAAGAGACCAAAAAGGACCTCGAGATAATAATTAAACAACCGAAAACCAACGAGCTGAGCTCACTTGATGAAATGTCTATGCGTGTGTTCTTCTTCTGTGTCACATTCATATAGACGGTGATTTTTCCCTCCGTCAGGCCCAGCTCCACCCAGCCATCCGCCAGGGCGGTGAACATCAGAAGGCCGTTGGGATTCCACGTCCTGAAAGACAGACTGACTGACAGGGTGTCGCTGTCAGTCTGACCCGGCAGCCGCAGGAAGGATGTGGAGTTGAAGAAAACTGGGGAGGTGTTGGATTCGGAGCAGGAAAATGTCAGGTTACGCTACAGTGGAAGAAAGAAACCGATAAAGAGATTTATGGAGACAGTACCTAACAGACTTTTATTTTGAAACTTCATTTTATTTGGCGATTCTAAATTGAAAACGGTTGTCAGGCAGTTTAGGTGCTCAGAGTGTGTGGAATAAAGACTTGATGCTATAATTTCCACTTCTGCGAGTCCTCTAGGGCCAGCGCAGGTCTGAGTAACATGAACGTCATCAAATGTTGAGCGGATCCACGTGCATGTCTGTTTTTTACATTTCGGACATTTTCACAGTGAATACGTTACTAAAAGCCAGTCTATTCACAGACGTCCACTCAGTTTGAACATCTGAGCTAAAAACACAGTGGTTACTATGGAGTGGAAAAAAGAACCGGCAATCAAAATTAGCTCTAACGAGTCAGACAAGTTTCAGACAAGAAATGTGCCACCTGAGGAAGGAGAGATTCAAAATCCATTCTTAGAGGACAACCACAGTCTTAGTGTGGGAGGCTACGGTATTCTGGTTTTAGTTTCAGATAGCAACACCCATGGATGCTGCCAAAGAATCACAGATTCACTGTGGTTAACTGGCAGCCTGTGATTACACTGCACTGTTCAATGCACCATCACTGGGGTGGTTTATTTAGAACTGTAAAGTAAAGAGATTTATTGCAAGACGAAGGTTATGTAGGCTTGTTCATGACATTTGAAAGAGCAGACCATCAGAGACGTTCTTCAGTTTATTGTTGAGCGAGCAGCTCGGTGGGGTGGCTTCTGGGAAAAGCCTGAGAACTCTGTGAAAACAAATCTAAGGAGTGTCCTGGGAGGGCTTCGCTGAACTTTGAGGAGCTCACTAGTATACTGACAGAAGTAGAGGCGATATTGAGGCCTCTGTCCTCTTTGCACAGTTCCAGAGTTGTGAGCACTTGGAGGTAGCTGTAGCTCAGGTGGCAGAGCAGGTCGGCCACTAACCAGAAGGTCGGTGGTTTTTACCAGTAAAAACACCCAGTGTGATGAACGTGGGCGATGTTGTCCTGGTTGGAGAGAATAACTCGCCCAGACAAACGCATTTCCTCGGACACAGCTGTTCCTGCATTGTTCACAGTTTAAAGCTTGCTGCACAGACCTGCTCAGTTACTGCATCCACTCGAGATGAGTAAACGCACTGAAGCAGCTGGACACGGATGAACAGCTGTTAATCAGCTGGGAGGATGTTGTGATTTATTGATCCTTTACGTGTTACTTCTTGGACATGCAGGAAACACTAAAACATGCTCTCCTTCTCATTACTGCAGTGAATGTGTAGAAAATGTGTTCAAACAGTTAATGGTAATTATTTATTTTATTGTACAGGAAGTGTTTTACTTTGAAGAGCACTTGATACTGTTGACCATAATACTGTATAACAGTGACTGGAGCATGCTGGTATTAAAAGCAGCTGCACTGGAGGTTTCTTCCTCTTAAAAGGGAGTTTTTCCTTCCCACTGTCACCAGAGCACTTGCTCATAGAGTTGTTGAGGTTTTCTCTGTTTCCTCTGTATTGTTGTAGGGTTGTGTTGTGATTTGGTGCTATATAAATGAAACTGTTTTGAATGCAGCTGTTCACACTGACCGTGTCATTTCATTGGACCAATCTAGAATTCATTATTTTGAACCACACTAGATTTGTCAAAAAACAGCTGTGACCAATCAGACCACTTCATTTGGCAACGACTACGCTCATAGCTCAAAAGCATGCATGGGCACTGAATATGCAGTGATATGGTAAGAGTACTAACACAAAGCTCATCACTTTTGATTTCAAGACAGAGTTTTGGCAGAGTGTTCGGAGAAGACTGGCAACCCCATGCCTCCTGTGTGGGGAGGACTATGGGATGTCTGGCCCATTGCTAAAGGCCATTCAGTCCTTGCACAGCAGTGAAGAGACATTGTTTTGTTTTGCTGGCAATAAGTCACACTTGTCTCTGGTGGTCTTGGACTCTGCTGTACTTTATGTTCTGAGTAGTGACCAGAAGAATGAAGAAAGAAGATTCTGGTTCTTTCAAAGAATCAAACTCTGGTTTGTCTTCCTCTTAGTGAGGTTCGTTTGTGTAGACCTGAGCACAGTAATTGCACTTGGGCGCGGACCAAAAGAACTGCACCAAGACCACCTCCTTCAAACAGTCTCAGTGTGGTTGTTGTGGTGGTTCCTTTATGGTAGAAATGTGACCCAGTGTACATTTCAAAACTGAGCTCAAAAGCTTCCTCTAGCAATGCACGCTTTGAATTCTGGGAAGTAGCAACGTACTACAGACGTGCAAAGGTCTACACAGGCCAGCAACCAGCAGTGAAATCAACAAATATTCTCCCTGGTCTCTAATGCTCCAAAACACAGCACCTTCTTGCTGTATTTATTGATCCTGCCCAGATACATCTATCACATGGTTTGTAGTGATGCACTTGCACTGGTTCACCTGGAATTTTCTCTGTGTGCAAAGAAACCAAATCATGGGGCAAAACTACAGCTGATTGAGACCACAGTAAACTGGTCTACAGGTGTGAGAATGCCCTAAATCACTGCTGCAGAACAGCCACAGTAGCCAATGACTACAGCAGAGGCAACCTCACAGGCATCAGTGTTACGGGCCACTAATCTGCTCAGGAGCAGAGATGGGCGTTACTGTAATCTGATTACTTTTTTCAAGTAACAAGTAAAGTAAGGGATTACTATTGCAAAAACGGTAATTAGATTACCGTTACTTTCCCGTAGGAACGCTGCGTTACTGCGTTACTAAAACCGTGATTTTTTTGCGAGAATGTCTCATGACAGTGACGTAAGCGAGTGCGACGTTCGTGACAACAGCTGTGTGCAGATCAACAATGGATCACATATCGAGTGCAGAGAGAGTATGAGCGTGCAGCGTTTAAAGCGTGGAAGTACTGACCTTACTTTGAGTTTGATTCCATAAAAAGTGACAAAAACATTAGTGTCCGCTGTGCGTGGGAAGAAAACTTCTTTTTACAGCGAAAAAAACCCCTAAACTTCCAACAAGCACCGAGTAGCTACGACGTAATGGGAAACTCACAGAGAAACTCGCGGATTCTTCCACTGACCGCGGCACACCTGCACCAGGGTAAACCTCCGCCTACCCCACTCCTGCTTTACAGGTGAAAATAGAGCAACAGGACCGCTGAGTCTTTGACTTTATTTATTTTCTGCTGTGTTTTACTTGCATCTATTTGAAAGACTGAGTGTAAACACAAAAAATTTATTTTATGTGCTGGAATGTGCAGAAAATAGGTTTAAATGTTAAACTAATTTCTTCCAGTCAGAGAATGTTGCATATAATTAAATGTTTGCTTGATGCATAAAGTTAAAAGATTAAAACTAATAAAACAAGTTTTAAAAAGAGACTTTTCCATTTGATTACATTTTGTATGATGGATTATGCAGAAAAAGTAGAATTGGGCTGAAAGATCTATCGCTTTATCACCTCTTCAGGTTGTAAATCGTGTTTTTAAAAAGTAACTAAGTAACTAAGTAATTAATTACTTTTAAAAATAAGTAATCAGTAAAGTAACGGTATTACTTTTTTGGGGGAGCAATCGGTAATTAGTTACTGATTACTTTTTTCAAGTAACTTGACCAACACTGCTCAGGAGTTTGAGCAACAGTGAAGAAACTACCGGAGCTCCTTTTAATGTTCTGACAGGTCGAAAGTGTTCAGGTTAGAGACTGTTTGGGACAAATCCACAGGAGCAACTTATTCTCTTCCAGCAAAAACAATTAAATCCACTCAATTAACTTTGTTATTTAAGAAGATCCCAATAAAGAAGAAAAATATTTTACATTGTGTGGCAGAGGTTAACACAAACAACAGTAATATATGGTTTAAAAAGTACATTTAGAGCTGTTTGGGTCACGACGAATCGAGGCATGTTACTGAAGCTGAAGAAGAGTTTTCCTCCACAGACGAGTGTCCATGACATATTTAGTTTAGGAAAAGATGCAAACTGCCAAATAACAGAAAAACTGCAAAAGGGTTTTTAAGATCATTGTACGAGTAGCACTCCAGTCTACATTTACACAAGGCTGGGCACATAAACTCAAAGAGAAGACACTTCTTACAAAGCTGGTGGTGTCAACCTTCTTCCTGCGCACCAGACTAGTGATGTTTTCCCCGTTGTAGGTAATTCCTTCCATGCAGCCAACAAAGTTCTCTTTGCCTCCTGAGGTTGGCTTCACAGACACAGGAAGTCCTCCAAAGCTGATCTGAGGAACACAACACAAAGCAACACTGGGGGATACTGCATCTCTGCAACCACACAGAGTCAAACGACTCACTTTTTAAGGTCTGCTAATAACAGCAGACAACAACCACTTCACTCAACTGTGAAGAGTAAATGAACATTTCAGGCGTTACACAGATGAACCGCAGTGATGTTGTAAACTGTAGGAACACCAGCAGGAATAAACGGACTCCAACAAGTATCAAATATACACAGTGAGATAAGCGCCGTACAGTGTTGTTACAAACTGTTTGCCTCCTTCCTGACTTCAGATTTTTTTGCATGTTAAACAAACAACAAAGACTTGACTGCAGTTGTTGCTGACAAGCGTGGCCCAACCAGTCATTGGGTTTAGGGGCAATCACTTTGTCACGTGGGGTCATGCAGGTTTGGATTTCTTTTAGTAAGAAACACCTTCATTTAGAAACTGCATTTTGTGTTCACTTGCACTCTTGCTGCAATCCTTCTGTTACAAAGACACTCGTCTCGACCCTCGCTGCCTCTCTGCACACTCTTCTTCATGCTTTGTGTGCACCGTCTGTCCTTGGATGGTCGAGCAGGTATTTAAGCTCACTTACCTCTATTGCTTCCAGCCTCAACTTTGTACCTGTCTCACTCTCACACTAGAGTATCAGAAGTACCAAAGAAACAAACAAAAAACACTTGATAATAATGTAAATAAGACCAGTAAACAAAGTAAACACAGGGCAAAAACGCTTCATTTTAACAAGTATTCTGATTTAAAAACATGAACACAAATGTTGGCTGTCAGTAGCTCTTAGATGTGATCCTGAGGTCACGCTACGATGTCCACCACAAAGTATTCTATTTTTAAATGCGCCCTGAGCTCCCAAACAGCCATTCAGTAATGTTTTTGAATCGATGAAGTGATGTGAATTTATGTAGCCTAAATGATTAAGTGGTCAAATTCTTTTGAAAGACAATATCTTAAATATTGAGCTGATCTTTCACAAAATAACTGAGCCCCAGGCATTTGAACTAAGTGACCTAATTATTTGTGAAAGCTTTATCATGAGAGTGTTGTGTTGTTGCTGTGCCAAAGCAGGAACTGTGTGTGAAACATGACGAGTGGGTTCATTTCTGCCAGAATCTTTACTTTTCCTGTCAAAGGTAAGTTTCTTCCTCCAGCTTCACCAACAATCTGTTCAAGCAGTGACTGCAGAGTTACTCTTAATGGTGTACTGTGCACAGTGCCCTGAATATAACTGAACGATGGAACCTGTGCTCCGGCTGACAGGGCTGATGGATAACTAGGACATACATTAGCAGCAGATATGCGTACCTGTGCACACGTGTCCTCTAAACACTGAAGCCTCAGTTAAAGTCATTAAAAGGAAGCAGCAGATTTCACTGCATGCCTAATATAACAATAAACATCAGCAGAACCTAAATCATGCTGGAGATGAGGAGCTGAAAGTCAGACTACCTCCAAATAATACGGTTTATATGTGAACAAACATTGTGTGTCTTCCTTTCGAGGTGACATCCAAACTAAGAAGATATTTTCCTCTTCAATTAAGACTTTGGAGAGGATTCTTAGAACCTAGCAAGCAGTTCATTAAATAAGTACATCATAGGATCCAAACCCCCACAACCCTGACGAGGATAAGCAGAAGAGAGCGGATGGCTGGAAGCACGTTTTATTTCTATAGCACATTTAAGACCAAAGTGATTACACATGAATAAACAGGTTCCTACTAAATGAGAACACACACATTCACAGTTTAAGTCAAATGTATGATTCACTGAGCCGTGTGGAGGGTGTACCTCGTAGTCCAGGTCCAGGTGATCAAATTCTCCATTGGTTCTGAACTGCTGAGTGTGGCGGTCTAAAGTAAAATTGACATTCCTGCGGTAACGCTCGATGACAACAGAGTGCCAGTGGTCATCATCCAGCAAGCTTCCACTGGTCACAGCCGTGTCACCTTGAATAGAACCGTTCTGGTTGCTGCCTGGACAGACACATCACATCAGTCATGAAATTAGTGGTTAATAAAGTTTAACAGAACTCGCTCTGATACAAACACCAGGAAGATCAGAAAGCTACCTAAGTTGATGCTGAGCAGCAGTCTCGCTCTGTGAAGCTCGAGGGAAATGTAGTCCCCCTGCTGCCCCTCTCCGTGAAGCAGCACCCCGTTTCCTGCTGTGGTGCGAAACTTCAGAGCGATGACGTCCTTCACAATTTTTAACTTTTTACTCCTGAAGCGGTAGGAGATGACCCCGTGCCCATCGAAACCAATCACATCGGCCCCTGAAAGATGCAAAAGCAAAAGTATGAACTCATTGAAACGTATTAAATGAAAGTTAAACACTAACATATAATTCAAAATATAGTGTATTTGTGACTTTCATCAATACATAGACATCAGCGATAGGAATACAAAGGTGTTGTATTCTGCTGGCCCTCAGACTTTGTAACACAACGACATACATTTGCTAGCAGACAGATTTGTAACTATAGGAACATATTAGCAGACGTCCGGCTGCATTCTCAGCCATCAGCAGCTTTCAGGAAAGATCTTTTCCTGCGACTTTCAGTCGCTCTAAATCTCGCCCTTAACAAATGTACTGGGGACACTTTCCACCAAGTGCAACTTCTTCTGCACAGAGATGGTTTTCTGCTTGCAGTGTGAGCTTGTTATGTGTCACAGAACCTGTTACTGCACAGACTTTGCAGCTGAGCGTAATGTGCCAGTAGCATGCAATCATCATTTGTGGCCTGAGAAGCTGATCTGATGAGCAAAGCCTCTTACATCAACTTACTCTCAGCTACACTTGCATGACTGAGAGATCCAAAACAATCCTAAACTTAATTATCTACAATCTGCAGTTAGAACGACAGTTTGCAGCTGAAAGTCCAACTGCTGCATCTCACATGGAAAGAAAAGAAAGAGAGTGAACTTCACTCAGAGATGGAGAAAGATGAGAAAGACAGGAGAGGAAGAAGAGAGCTTAGATTTAAAGGGAAGGACTGCTGTCAAACCAGAAGATTAAAGCTAACATGTAAGTCCTCGTGTTTTTAGATCACACATCTGTACATGTGACATTGTTTTGTATAGAAATATCCTTGTTTTAAACATGAACAAGGCCGAGACCATGATCATAGCTCCTCCTCAACTACATTCTGCTTTTCTGTCCTCCTGCTGAGCCAAACATTCGAAATAAACCTGGATTCTTCTTTGGGCCTTAACCCACATGTAAAATCTGTTTACCAGCTTGGACAAATCCTCTCTTTTTTTTCCCGTATGTCCCGTTTGGCTCTTTTGCATCAGAATTATTGTCTAAAGGTGAAGAAAGATGCCCAACGGATTTACTTTACCAAATGGACCATCCCAGCCTTGCCATAATGGTCCATTTGATTCACCTTTTATTGTTTATTTTATTTTATTTTCATCTGCTAAATACGGGACAGACTTGACTGGGGAAAAGAAAGGGGAGAAAGTGTGTGAGCACCGGTGTGTACACCTGTGAGCATGGACGCGCTTGTATTTAAAGGTTCCTTCATGTAACGATCTGCAAATCGTCTCTTTCTGCTTCCAAGACAAACAAAATGCAGCAGCCAGACTACTGACACGCTCCAGCAAACATGCTCACATTACTCCTGTTTTATATTCTTTACATTGGCTTCTAATAGATTTTAGAATTAGTTAAAAATTCTCGTTTTAACATACAGAGCACTAAATGGCCCCAGATTATTTATCCCAGCGTCTTACACGCTGCTGCTGGTTGTCTGCGCTCACAGAGTTTGTTGGTTGTTCCCTGAACACGGCTGCAGAGTAACGAGGACCGTCTACCACCACGGCTGGTGATTCTTTTAAAAAGCAGTAAAAACCTTTCTGTTTAAACAAGCTTTCTGCTGCTACCTGTTAATCTGACTGCGTTTCACTGACTTGTCTATATCGTCTATTTTGGTACCAAACGTTCAGTTTATTTTAGCCTTTGTGTGCGGTGCAAAAGATCTAAATAGTTCAGACAGACGCAAAAACTTGGCAAACTGTGTGGTGCACAGCAGCACCAGAACATCTTTGGTCCACAGCGATGTCCATGCAGTCTGACTCCTGCAAAGGATTTTCATCCAGGTATTAAAATCCTCATTGGGTTTTAAATCCACTGTCGTGCTGTACAGAGGCACAACTGCAAGAAGTGTATATTTGTCCAACAAAGGATGAACTTGTACTTTCCAGTTTTCAAGAACTGCCTGTCCTGTAGTGGCCAGACGCAGGTGCCCACAGGTCATGTACTGTAAATCTACATCCACATCACATGCATGGTGTTTCAATCAGGTATCTTCAGCTTGCACTTACAGTATGAGCAGCCATACAGCTCCAGGCGCACCCCGACGCGACCCGCCCTGCTCCAGTCCACTGGGATGAAACGGATGTAGCGAGCCAGGATGGCATACTGCAGCTCGTGGCGAACTACACCCTCGCTGTTCACATTCCCTTCAAATGTCTGAAACAACATTTGTTTTAAAGAGAAAATCAGATCTAAATGTAGTTTTTATTCATTAGAAAATGAATCAAATAACATTAAACCACATGTTTTTTTTCATTGGTTAATTAGAAAAGTGAAAAACACCTTCAGGGAGCTGTTGATGTGATTTGGTGTTACATAAAAAAAAACCAGAAGTCAAATCGGAGGTTTTGTCCTGATAATAACATGGTTATTACCCATTAATCCATGAATACTCGAGACTCTAAACGGAGCAAATACACACCACAGGTCCACACCTGTGAAACTGACTCACACTGCAACATTAAACACAGGCTTATGTTACAGTGTGAGAACGAGGAGCAAAAGAAGAAGACTTGAAGGAAGAGGAGTAATAGTTTCAGTAATAGCACCGTGCCACAGATCTAAATTTAAAATATTCCACCTGTCAGGGTTTAGTCTTCCTAAACCCTGACAGGTGGAATATTTTAACATCAGCGTCGACTTGAAATGATATTTGTGTCGATAAGTCGGTCCGATTGATTTCCTTACCCAAATGTTTCCATCCTGTAGATAAGGTCTCCAGTTTTTCTGTGTGTCACTGTAAAGTAGCCGATACTTTGTGGTCCAATCAGAGCTACTATAACAACCCTGTGTTGCTATGGCAAGCACCTGCTTCTTAGAACCAAGGTCTACTTGTAGCCACGGGTAACGGTCTGTATCCAATGGCGACCACCCTCCAGAACCTAGATTTTGGGATGTTGTAAGTTTGAGAAGGGTTAAAGATGTCAGAGAAAAAAGTGAGTAGATGAAGAAATAACGACATTTAGAGCCTAATCGTCTTCAGTGTCTGCACTACTTTATCTGGAGAATTATTCTGAGGCTTTGCCCACACGAACTTTAAGCCAAAAACACTGCACACATGAACTCACATGCCAAATGTGATTTTTAAAAACAGTGACAAAATGCCCACAGATGATGTATTTACAGCCTAAAGAATAAATATATCAATTCTCATTTACATCTAATCTAATCATCTCTTAAATTAAATGGTCATTATTATTTTATACTGTTAACATTTACAGTGGGGCAAAAAAGTATTTAGTCAGCCACCGATTGTGCAAGTTCCCCCACCTAAAATGATGACAGAGGTCAGTAATTTGCACCAGAGGTACACTTCAACTGTGAGAGACAGAATGTGAAAAAAAAATCCATGAATCCACATGGTAGGATTTGTAAAGAATTTATTGGTAAATCAGGGTGGAAAATAAGTATTTGGTCAATAACAAAAATACAACTCAATACTTTGTAACATAACCTTTGTTGGCAATAACAGAGGTCAAACGTTTACTATAGGTCTTTACCAGGTTTGCACACACAGTAGCTGGTATTTTGGCCCATTCCTCCATGCAGATCTTCTCGAGAGCAGTGATGTTTTGGGGCTGTCGCCGAGCAACACGGACTTTCAACTCCCGCCACAGATTTTCTATGGGGTTGAGGTCTGGAGACTGGCTAGGCCACTCCAGGACTTTCAAATGCTTCTTACGGAGCCACTCCTTTGTTGCCCGGGCGGTGTGTTTTGGATCATTGTCATGTTGGAAGACCCAGCCTCGTTTCATCTTCAAAGTTCTCACTGATGGAAGGAGGTTTTGGCTCAAAATCTCACGATACATGGCCCCATTCATTCTGTCCTTAACACGGATCAGTCGTCCTGTCCCCTTGGCAGAAAAACAGCCCCATAGCATGATGTTTCCACCCCCATGCTTCACAGTAGGTATGGTGTTCTTGGGATGCAACTCAGTATTCTTCTTCCTCCAAACACGACGAGTTGAGTTTATACCAAAAAGTTCTACTTTGGTTTCATCTGACCACATGACATTCTCCCAATCCTCTGCTGTATCATCCATGTGCTCTCTGGCAAACTTCAGACGGGCCTGGACATGCACTGGCTTCAGCAGCGGAACACGTCTGGCACTGCGGGATTTGATTCCCTGCCGTTGTAGTGTGTTACTGATGGTGACCTTTGTTACTTTGGTCCCAGCTCTCTGCAGGTCATTCACCAGGTCCCCCCGTGTGGTTCTGGGATCTTTGCTCACCGTTCTCATGATCATTTTGACCCCACGGGATGAGATCTTGCGTGGAGCCCCAGATCGAGGGAGATTATCAGTGGTCTTGTATGTCTTCCATTTTCTGATGATTGCTCCCACAGTTGATTTTTTCACACCAAGCTGCTTGCCTATTGTAGATTCACTCTTCCCAGTCTGGTGCAGGTCTACAATACTTTTCCTGGTGTCCTTCGAAAGCTCTTTGGTCTTGGCCATGGCGGAGTTTGGAGTCTGACTGTTTGAGGCTGTGGACAGGTGTCTTTTATACAGATGATGAGTTCAAACAGGTGCCATTCATACAGGTAACGAGTGGGGGACAGAAAAGCTTCTTACAGAAGACGTTACAGGTCTGTGAGAGCCAGAGATTTTCCTTGTTTGAGGTGACCAAATACTTATTTTCCACCCTGATTTACGAATAAATTCTTTACAAATCCTACCATGTGGATTCATGGATTTTTTTTTCACATTCTGTCTCTCACAGTTGAAGTGTACCTCTGGTGCAAATTACTGACCTCTGTCATCATTTTAAGTGGGGGAACTTGCACAATCGGTGGCTGACTAAATACTTTTTTGCCCCACTGTAATATGTAGGCACAGATGTTTATAATAGGGGTGGGGGAAAAAATCGATACTGTGTAGCATCGTGATATTTTGTTTGCTAATAATGTATCGATACAGGGACAGCAGAAATCGATATTTTGTTACAAAAAAGGTTTTTGTGCTCTGACTTCAGAGCATGTTGATCCTTTTTCTGAGCAAGAATCCTGACACTGTCCAAATGTGTTTAACTTGTTTTTGGCAGCAATAAACATGACAGTTTACTTATTTTAATTTAAGACATGTTTTATTTTAATTAAGTTTAAAACTTTTTTATTTAATGTAAAATTATATTTTGTTTTAATTTACTTTCAAATTCTTCAGTTGCTGAAGGGGCTGCATAGTTTTCATATTGCATAGTTCAGAATAGCTGTAATTGTACCAGATGGTTGCATTCAGTTAAGTTGGACTAGACTGTAATACAAACCGTTCAGTTTGTCAACAATAAAACTGAAATGAGAGAAAGACTGAGTGTGAGACTTTGATATTAGATAAAATGAATATTGATAAAGTTTACCTTTATGTACAGAATCTGAATATCGCAAAATATTTTTAAAAATTGCAATAATATCGTATCGTGCGTTAAGTATTGTGATAATATCGTATCGTGGGATGTATGGTGATTCCCACCTCTAATAATCAGGTGAGGTAAAACTTCACATGGGAACCAGTAAACCCACGAATCATGGTTATGTTTACAGTCACATAAAAAAGAAAAACATTGATACCTGAGACGTTACTGAGCATTAGAAAAGCTTGTTCAGTGTTCAGTGTTAGTTTATGAGATCAACACTTTATGTTGATGTTGAGTCCAAGTCAAAGTTCAATAAACATGTTCAGCTGAGGGGCCGAGCTGCATTTCAGCAGGAGTCTGCAAACCACTTTCTTCTTTGACATAATTATTTAGTCACAATTATACAACTAATACATGTCGGCACTGTGAGCTACAGCCTTAACAGAAGCCGACATTTAACACCAAAGCTGTGGAAATGCAGCCATGAATGGACCCAGAAACTGGTTTAATATTAACCCCTCCACAACCCAGAAATACAAACAACCTCATCCTCAAGATTCCCGAGGCATACCTTGTTTCCGGCTGAGTTTGGCATAACCGGCTCCGTTTCCTCGGCTGTATAGAGACGACCCGGTGAAGGAGCTGTAAGGAAGAGGAGTGGCCAAGCTGTCCTCACACTTCCCTGAACCTGAAACAGAAGCCCACAGATGTTTCCTTCAATGCTACCAACAGGCCAACGTTTTACAGTGTGCTGCACTTCTACATGCTCACCATAGCAGCAGGTCACAGTCTTATAGTGAGAACATTAGCTGCTGAATTTAGTCCAAAGCAAAAAGACCTGCCAGGACTGTGTGGTCGACAGGAAACAGCAGCACGAACTACTGCAGTCCGTTGCAGCTGCTCATTGCGTTTTATGGTAATATTCATACTCCACATAATGGCTTTCATGTGTGTTAACAATTGGTTAGACATATTGCTGTGACACCAATAGAACCTGAATTGATGTGTAATCGCCAGAGTAGGGCTGCCACGATTAGTCGACTAGTCACGATTACGTCGACTATCAAAATCGTCGACGACTGATTTAATAGTCGACGGTCGTTTGAAGCTTTGTAAGATCGACAAAAGACGCAGGAATAAGTAGCAGGATTTAAGAGTGTAATAACGGACTGAAACAGAAGATGGCAGCACTGCATGTACAAGGATGCCAGCTGCCGTTAAACCCCGAAGAAGAAGAAGCAGCTGTGTCCCAGAATTCATAGCGCGGCCCAGCTCAGTTTCCAACAATGGCGGTCAGCTAGTTAGTTTTAATATTACTCTTATTATTCTTTCTGGGTCACAAAATAAACGTTTAACATATTTTCAGGCGAGAATGTAGCTGTGTAAACCTCAAATATCGGCTCAGTTTATCAGGACACCACATATTTTCAAAAGCGCTCCGACGTTTTCGGAGACGTCTGTTACCCACTAGCTCGATAGCTAGCCGGGGGCTAGGTCACTAGCGCCGTGAGAACACCGGACTCCCGGCAAATTGTTTTCAAACCCACCGCCGTCTTTCGCTACTCAGGTTAAATATATATGAGTCACTTAGATAAATTAAAAATGTTGTTGTTTGGCTTTTTTTTTTTTTAGTATTTTATTTGTTCCTGAGTAAATCGGTTTGGCTGAGATTAAAGTTATAGTTTTTACACAGCTGAATAAACGTCAAGCAGACAGCTGATTATCAGAAGTGTGAGATGCTGGAGAATATACTCCGGTGTCCTGTTATATTTTAGATAGCAAGGAGTTTATTAAACTTCACCGAAACAATCTGCAAATTTCATTAAAATTGAATAAACTATCATCTTGTCTTTATTTTTAGTTAGCACTACCTTAAACACTTAAAGCTGTAAGCTAATGATAGTTATATAAGAGCAGATGCTGCTGGTGCAATAAGCTGTAGTTTTACGTCCAGTGGATGATGATCTGATTAGTCGACTAATCGCATAAATAATCGGTGACTAGTCGACTATCAAAATAATCGTTTGTGGCAGCCCTACCCAGCAGACAAACACCAAAATCCATCATTTGGACATTTTGTTCCACTTGTACAAACAACCAATGTTCTTGTCTGTTTATCAAACAATTGAAAGCTGACTGAACCCACTCGTTTGTTCAAGCCAAGGTTAACACGACATCACCGACATTAACTCATCTGTATAACTGACACTGGGAGGTTAGGAGGAGTGTGAGGCTGATGCTGCTGATCTCAGCTCTGTGAACATTTGGATGGAAACTGATGAAGCTGGGTGTGATGACACGGTAACAACAAAAAGATGTTTAATGACTGCGTCTGAGCTGATCTGATTAGAGTTTAGAGAGTTTAGAGTTCCAGTGATAACATCTGCTGAAACTACACACTATCTGCTATCAGAGGAAGAGAGCAGAAACACTCAGCACAGCAACATAACTGATGTAGAACGCGTGTCTGAAACGCAGAGACCGAAGCTCACACATCAAAAAACACTTTATCAATCCCACAGGAAATGATGTGAACACACACACGCACCAGGAACAGTTCAGAGCTGTGTGTGTGTGTGTGTGTGTGTGTGTGTGTGTGTGTGTGTGTGTGTGTGTGTGTGTGTGTGTGTGGGAGAAAGAGGGAGGCAGGTGCTGAGCATAGTGATGAGCTTGCTCATATGCATTACAAAACAAGCCTCGCATGCATTCAGCAGCATAAAGGAACGAGACAAACACGACGTCGTCAGCAGACGACCTGAAATCAGCGTCTCCTCCTGATCTTTCTGACAGCAGTACGTCTGAGCTCCTGCTGCAAAACCACAATGATGATATTCCTACAAATCCAGTCTAACTGCTTTTTTAATCACATCGAAAAATAAACTGAGTGGTGCAGAGTTGATCTAGGCTCTAATTTAGTTTCCCGTGTGATAACAGCGCTGCTGCTTCTGGAAGCTGACCAGCCTGCAGTTTAGGGCTGCTCAATTATCGAATTTTAATCACGATTAGATCTGGGCTTTCAACGATCATTAAAAATGACTGAGCCGATTATTAGCCCCTCCCTCGTGCTTTACTCTCGCGCTGCTCCGTGTGGCAAATCGAGCGCACCTCTCTGCATTTCGAACATGTGTCACAACAATTAAGAGCAGCGGTCCCCAACCTTTTTTGCGCCACGGACCGGTTTATGCCCGACAATATTTTCATGGACCGGCCTTTAAGGTGTCGCGGATAAATACAACAAAATAAAACTAGTACCGGTCCGAGGCCCGGGGGTTGGGGACCGCTGATTAAGAGGACCCGAGGGAAGCTCGGAAAGCTAAGCAGAAGTTATTTGGAGAGGAGAGTGACTGCTGTTGGTTGAAAAGAGAGGTAAAAACCTTCAGTGGTGTGGAAACATTATGGGTTCGGAGTCAGACGTGGATCAAGTAGACAGTGTGTAAACTTTGCTACAGTGTCGTAGCTGCACCACAGAGCAACACTGCAAAGTTCACTAAACATAGATGTTTACATTTTTCATTTATTTCTTATATTGCAAACATTTGCACTGTTATCAAGATAGATATAAAGTCTGATTTCTCAGACTTTATATCTAATTTAGTTCTGAGCTCAGATAAAATAATTATTGTGGGTGATTTTAACATCCATGTAGATGCTAAAAATGACAGCCTCAACATGGCATTTAATCTGTTATTAGACTCAATTGGTCTTCTCTCAAAATGTAAAAGAACCCACCCACCACTTTAATCACACTCTAGATCTTGTTTTAACATATGGCATAGAAACTGAACATTTAACAGTGTTTCCTGAAAACCCTCTGCTGTCTGATCATTTCCTGATAACATTTACATTTACAATAATTGATTACACAGCGGTGAGAGTAGACTTTATCAAAGTAGATGTCTTTCTGAAAGTGCTGTAACTAAGTTTAAGAATATAATCCACCCACTGTTATCATCTTCAATGCCCTGTACCAACACAGAGCAGAGCAGCTATCTGAACGCTACTCCCAACAGAGGTCGATTATCTTGTTAATAATTTCACCTCCTCACTACGTACGACTCTGGATACTGTAGCTCCTGTGAAAACTAAGGTCTCTAATCAGAAGTACCTGACTCCGTGGTATAATTCTCAAACACGTACCCTAAAGCAGATGACTCGTAATCTGGAGAGGAAATGGCGTGTCACAAATTTAGAGGATCATCATTTAGCCTTGAGAAATAGTTTGCTGCTTTATAAGAAAGCCCTCCGCAAAGCCAGAACATCTTACTATTCATCACTGATTGAAGAAAATAAGAACAACCCCAGGTTTCTCTTCAGCCTGTAGCCAGGCTGACAAAAGTCAGAGCTCTTTGAGCCAACCATCCCTTTAACGTTAACTAGTAATGACTTCATGAACTTCTTCACAAATAAAATTTTTATCATTAGAGAAAAAATTACCAGTAATCATCCCACAGATGTAATATTATCTACAGCTACTCTTAGTACCATTGATGTTAAGTTAGACTCTTTTTCTCCAATTGATCTTTTTTTTCCCCTCCGCCCCTCCCCCCGCCCCCCCCGCTATTTATTGAGATGTCTTTCTGGAGTTTACTTCAATAAAAAAAAAAAAAATGTAATATATTACTTCTCCAAAAACCATGCACCTGTTTTTTAAGAACCCCTCACACCATCTCCTACAAAGAAAAACACGCTGCAAAAGAAGTCCTGCCATTAATTTAATATTCTTGCGATCTTAAATTATGATATCAACTTACTTCTTAAATGATCAGGTGCTATGGTTTCGTAACATCCGGCACCATGGCCTTCAGCTGGCTGTAGTTTAAACCGGC